ATATTTCCACCTCGGAAGGGAGACGTTGCGGTGCGTACGCGCAGCTGTTCCCTTTGGGTTCGGCCGCTATCTTAAAACGGTCGCTGAAACAATCCCTTTCCTTCTTACACAAAAAGAGGACAAGATAAATATCAAATTATATTCTAATCAACCCCGAACAAGGGCGAAGTATAAAAAAAAAGGCACGAGTCCGGATCAGGGCGGGGCGCGTGCGGCGGGCGCGAGGCAGTTGTTTGCTGTGCGCGAGGAAGCAGCATTATCTTTGACTTATCGAGGAAAGGAAGTTTTCATTGGTCAAAACAATGGGGAGAGAGAGGAAAAAAAGGGTAGCGGGGGACCGAAAGAAAGGACTAGAAAGACAGCGAGGAAAGCGCGCGATAACAACTCTTATTCAAATGGATATCGGTGGGACGGCCCTGGAAAGGCTCACGTTCGTTCTGACTGAAGGGAGCAGGGCTAATTTATTTTTTAATTGCCGCCCCCTTCTCCTTTCCCCGCGACCTCCTCCCTCTCCGCTCCTAATTTCTGAACGCGCGCGTACGTACGCCACATACAGCCTGCCGGGCGATAGTTCCGGTTGATATTTCTCATTCTTTTGTTGTTCGCGAAAATTCCCAGCCGCGGGGAAATTTTTTCGCCAGGGCTCCCTCTCTCTTTTTTGTTCTTTACAGTCCCCCTGCCCTTCCTCGCGGTCTCCCTTACATGCGGGCGCGGTCCGTGTTGTTAATTGCGAGGGGTCATTGTTTTTTTACGTAGATAAATAAAGTGTTAATTTATTCGCGGAGAAAAGGAAGCGCGACGTCCCCCTGGTGCATCGGACTCCAAGATGCATCCCGCGGGGAACCCCCGAGGAGGGCGGCCAATGGTTCACGGCCTCCTGACGCAGGATTCCAAAAGACGGGCAATTGCGTCGGAAGGGGCGCTGCACTGCCGGCCACGCGGCCTTTCGGGATTGTATCCTCGTTGTAGTATGTTTCTCGGAAACGGTTCAGGCACTCTTGTTTCCTTCTGTTACAAACGAATGTTCGTGTCTGACACGAGGCAATGTTTGGCTTTGTAGTTCAACCGCTCGCTCCGTTGGACGTTGCAAATAATAATGCAACCTGTTCTGAACAAATCTTACCGTGATTATACATGATCGAATGTGTTCATTAAACATTTCCACCGACGCACCATTACCCAAACACACTGTAGTGCGCGATTCCTTTAAGCCGCAGGAGGTCTAATGAGCTCCATATGGGGGCTACGAGGTACTCTTTCTCTACGCCGCGCACAGGAAGTTTCGCAGAAGCATCTATTTCGATTTGTAAGTGCCGGAAACGAAATTTGACTTTCAAATGTGCAACTGACGCGCTCCTCGTTTAACCGTTGTACGGTACACTGTAGTATTCAAAATTACCTGGCGGTGTTTCAGGTGATACGTTGCGTCCCCCGACACACTTACGGCCACCTTTTAGCGTTGTGGACAACGATCCGCACAACACATTCAAGCTTACGTTCGTTCTCGGAATTAAATGTACTCGGTGAACAATATCGCGAATTCCAGGATCGTTTATTTTTCATTTCGTCTCTACGATGAATTACGCCAGAATATGAAATTAACAAATTGTAGTCTGACTGTTCTTATCGACTCGCTGAAAATTACCACTGAAAGTCCTGTTTGTTTGAAATGAATCCGCAAAGAAGCGTGTGCGTGGAAGTTCGCGAACACTGTGAACGTGCAAGCGGCGCCCATTTCGGAGCACAACAGTTGAGAGAGAACCGGAATCGTTGGGCCTTCGCGTAAACCAATGGCGTTGCGGCACACACACGCGGTCTCGCGTGGGCAACGCGAGAATCCTCTCCACGCGCGAAGAAGAGACGTTGTCAGCGGGGAGAGGGAGGAGTGGAAGGAAGAAGAGAGGGAGGGAGGGAGGGCTGCCGATCGGGTGCGGGTGGCGGAAGAGGGGGGCGGGGCGCGAAGAGACATTCGCAGCGCGGCGTCCGAGGCGCTTCGCGAGCTCCCGGGCCAGCTAATAGCCTGCTAAGTAGAATAATTAATGCCCCAAGGGCGGCCTCCTTGACCGGCCGCGCCCTGACTTAGCCCTCGGAGGAGGAGGAGGTGGAGGTGGCGCCGGCCCCGGCCCCTGCCCTCCTCGCCCCGGCCGCTGCGGCCGCTGTTCCGATCCGAACATTACGCCTGCTCCCTAGTCGCCCTTGCCACCGACGACGGAGAGAGCAGCGGAGTACGCGGCGACTTCCTTGTCCCTTCGGCCCCTAATGGCTGGCCGCGCGCAACTATTGTTGTCATCTGCAGCTTTGCGTAGGAGCAGCTAGTTCACGGTTTAAAAGAGAAGCTGTAATGTGTAATTGACAAATTCGAAAAGAAAGTAATTGTAAATCGTTTTGATTTTTTTTAGTCCTAATTGTTTAATTAACTTGGGTAATATAGAGCGTTTGGAGCGTTTAAGAACAAATCAGAAAGGCCCCCTAGTAGTAATTCTTCATTGGTAGTCTTTTATCCATATACCTCTCATTCTGTTTCTTCCATTTCCATTTTATCCTGATTCATCTTTCTTGTTTTCTTTTCTTTTATGGCACAACTGATTGCTTTTTAATCTTCTATCAGTCAACAATAGTTTAATACTAAATATACAAATAGTGGCTTTGTTCGCTTAGCTTTTTATTTTCAAAAGAAACCAGTAAATGCCACCTTTTTTTCATTACGTCACTCTATTTCTTTTCATCTGGAATCAAAATTAGAATTAGTTTAATGGATAAAATTCATAGATCAGTTTTTTGATTTCAACCATGAATATGAGTTATCCTAATTGAAAAGAATAATCGTTCAATGACCTCCGTCGTGAATACAAACTCGTTGCCCTACCAGTCGCGACAGCATTTCGCCACATCCTAGTGCCAAATGCAGGCTCTTTGCACTTTCCGAGAAGGAATAAAATTCTGTTACCAGTACATTCGCGTTTTTTATTCATTTTCCTGTTTCACAGTGTCTCGCGAACCTGCCGGTTTGAGTGTTTTCTTTTCAACGGCATTACGTTCGTCGCCGCTTGACTTTACAGGTTGTCCGAGTCCTACTTAATGCTGAGATGGTGAGGCGAGAGAAGGTTAGCAAAGCCGACATTTATGGTCAGAGAGACACGACAACGTAGTAAATAATTTTTGTGACGTGTCATTTCGAGAAGCAACATTATGTTCAATGACGAATGACGAAATCTCACGAAATATTCATCATACGCGAAAGCAACAATCATTAAGGTTGATTATAATCTTTGGAAAAGAGTAACAAAAAATCAGCTCGACCGGCTCCTCCCTGCAGAATCTCTCCGGCCCCCAAAATCAGTCGAAATAAACCGCACGTCCTTGGCCATCGCGAAATAGCATCGTTACGTCCGCTCGCGGTTTTAAAACGCGGGCAGAATCCGTGTCCTGGGTAGAACGCTTCTCTCTGGTCTATCTTGCCGAGAGAAGCACACGTAAAAACGCGACAGTAACACGCACCGCTCTCGGTCAGGGAGGGGTCGACCCGACTTACGGTAACATCGATAGTGCCAGTGGCCAACTCCAATAAGATTTCATATCGCATGTGGAGGCCATCAAATTACGTGAGGCTAATAAACCGGGGCCCCGGCTGCATGGAGGCGCGGCGCGACGTTGCTCGAGAGAAAACTCCCAGATCCTTATCGCCCGGAATTAAAAAAAGGAAACGAACACGGCGGGGTGTGGCGGCGGGGGTGGGCCGCGGGCGCAGGAAACGGCGAAGAGGCGGTGCGAGAGGGCTGCGAGATGGGGAGAAGTGAAAGGCGGCGAAGGTGGCGAGGGAGAGCTAGGGGCAGAAGGAGAGAGAGAGAGGAACCGAGTCCTGTAGTCCTTTCAGCATGCAATCCACATGCTGTTCGACGCACGCAAGTCCAACCAATCTAATATCGGGCCTTCCATTTGTTCTGTTTTGTGCCTGCAATTAATGGGATAAGCACATCGGCGAGGCTCCCCGCACGCTCTCGTTCACCCGCTCCCTTCACCCCAACCCCACCCCACCCCACCCTGCCGTCTGCCTCCCTCTGTGGCTGGCCTCTGGGGTTTCGTGGTGCCCGCACTCCTTAGCTAACGTGACGCGCAGCAAAAGCCATTCAGAAGTTAGCAAATAATGGCGAATTTTTAATTTTTCGTTGTAATAAATTGCTGTTGTAAGTGTTAACATTATGATGAAAGTTCGTTTTTTTATTCGGAAAATTATGGAACGATGGCACCGAACTTTTTCTTTTCTTCCGAGCGATTACATGTGATTACGTTTAACTGTAAAGTACATAATTGAGCGCGAAAGTATAATTTGGTGGAGAAAGTTTATTTTTTCCTGATTGCTGGCAACCGAATTTATGTGGAATGTGTTTTAAAACTGCTGTAACTAACTTAATCTGCTTCGCAATAGTTCTTCATAGGTTACGCCGTATAAATACATTTGAAATTTCATTCGTGTACGCTTTGCGTGAGAAACGAAGACTCGGAGTGTGGGCAAGAGAGGAGTTGGGAAGACAAATCTAAAAATTTGAATTTGCTTCTCCCGCTACACGAAAAAGTATGGCAAACACCTCCCTGAATAATCAATATTCAGGTTGATTAAAAAATATTTATGATAAACATATTAGATATACTTTTATGAATATGATTTTTGTTTGAATATTCTAGGTCACAGATCTCTTTAGAAGCAACCTAACATTCTTCTCTGACTACTAGGGTATCTCTTTAGACACCACCAATCACTGTCCTGGAACAACCATGTTATCACCTCTCCGAGCGCCACTACCGGTCGTCCCCTTGAATCCTCAGCGGTGGTCACATGATGTGCAAGCGTCAGTCCTGTTCCTTGAAAGTCTGTTTTACTTTGTAATCAAAGATGCCCACTTCCCCAACACGTTCGAATATTCGAAAAGCGCTCGTCTAGCGTTCGGAGGCGTCTTTGTTGGCTGGCCAAGTCGATAACCGCCGTGTTTCTTTGTCCGCAGGCAAGGATTCGGGCATCCCTGCGTTCGGACGCGGCGACGCAGACAACATGACTGAAGAGCGCATCGCGCACATCCTGAGCGAGGCGAGTCAGATGATGAAGGTGGAGGACAGTCACAGCAACGACAGCAAGTCGCCCAACCAAGGCCAGGTAAGCTCTCGACGGCTCAGATCATCGCTTGTGATCAACTGCTGCTTTTTTGGGGCCTAACTTATGACCTACCTGTATTTGTTATTTTTAGTTCATTGAATATCCTACCGAAGAGAAAAAGGTTGTCATTTCATTTTACCTGCATATGTGTATTCCCTTTGCACAAATCAAATTTAATCTGTAGAGAATATTAAAGTACCTCTTCCTTTATTTCTAACTAAAAAAATAGTTACTTCATTGTTATCTCAGAGGTAATTTCGATTTTTATAAATGGAGATAAAGTAGTGTGCTTTTAATGGCGTGACAACTTTTATCTTTTCATCTGTGTATCTTCGTTGAACTCAGTGTAATAATACTGGTAGTTGTTCTAAGTTAGGCCCCAACTTTTTGTTTACTGCGCAGCGTATCGGAGATCTTAGAGTACCTGATTGACGTTTTTTTAACTACGTCGTCGCCTTTTCATATTGGTGTTGGCTCACTTTACAGAGCTGTTTCTGTTGTAAATACTACATTTCATTTGAAGTTTACTTTATTGATGCAGTTCTTTACAACCCTTCAGTTCTCAGAACCATGCTTCACTGTCTGAGTATAAATGATCAGTTCTTCAGCATACAACTTCGGAGGAAATCTCATTTGCTGTTTGGCAATGCCAGTCAACACCATCTCCTTTCATGATCGAACGTCAATCAAGTTCTCGCAAAAAAATCAAGCATTCGGGGAAAACAAGCAACACATTCTCTAGCGTCGGTAAACCGGTATAAATCGGTGCTGTTAACGGTTGGGATTGCAAAATCTAAATAATAATAATAATAATAATAATAATAATAATAATAATAATAATAATAATAATAATAAT